ATACTTCTGCTCTCTTTTGGGATCATTTCTCTGTAAGCTGCTGTCACGGCCCAGATCATCACCACTCAACCATCATGCTTGAGGTGTTTTTGCTCATGCTGTTTTACCTATTCTCCAAAATTACCTTTTTTATTGTAAACAAGCATCTCTGCTTTGGTCTCACTGGTCAAAATGAAACAGCTAATTTAGTTTTCTGGTTTATTTCAATGTAACTTTAAAAACCAAAGAGATGGTGGCATTTTTTTTAGGGGAAAAAGAAAATGTTCTCCAGCTTGATAGAATTGCTTAAAAGGGATTCCTTTAAAACAAGCCCAAACCAACAACCCTCCACTTCCATGCTTTACAGTTATGACATTTTTTTAATTTTGTTTTTGTTCCTCTTGCAACTGACAGAGCGACAGTGACACTTTGAACATTATGTAACTGTTTAGTGGCAGCGGCTCTGAACTCGGCCCATTGTCTCCGCTGAAAGGGGCTTTGCTGCCACCATCTCCTCCTCTCTGCCACTGTCACACACTTCCGAACACAGCCGCCCTCAAGTTGTTCTGCTGACTGTCCTCAGGTTGACAGTTGGGGCTTTAATTTCATGCTCGGCTAGCTGTCCCTCCCCCATCACCCCATCCCCTCTTCTGGTCAGTTTGAAAGCTCAGCTGTCATTCATCAAGGCTCCTGGGTGTTTCTCTGTCTGTGTCTCTCCGCGCTGGGATGGGATTGCTTTGTACGTCGTCGTCCCTGTTTCACTTTGTATGCGTGTGCCGTAGGTGAACATGTCAGTGTGTATCAATTTGTTTGAATATTTACTTTCAATACGCCAGAAGGGTCGAGTTTATGGCTATTTATCTCAAAGTCTCCATGAGTGTGGGCCTGCCTGCTCACTGGGGTTTATACAAGATTGGTTTAACTACATGAAATTCGTCGGACTTTTGTTTGAGAGTCGAAAACTTCTTTCATGTCTAATCATGTTTGGAAGTTCACAAATAGGTTGTGATGTGTTGTGCAGGAATATGTGTGGTGACTAGAGAGCTTCCTGTTCACATAGGAGGCAGGTATTTAAAAAAAAACAACAAAAAACCCAGAAACTTAAAGTATTTAAACTGATATGATTTATGGCAGGTACAGGTACAGTTGAATATACAGGATTTCTAGAGCTGGCTGCTGTAATCTTCATGTTAACTGAGAAAAAAACAAACAAAAAAACAGCTGCAGTTTGACCGGCGCACAGTACAACGCTGAAATAATTAAAGGTTAACTATCTGGATTAAAGAGATTTACAACTGATGCTTAACTGAAACATGGATGTCACTGTTTTGATTGGAAAACATAATAAATGTAATCTTCCCAAGGGTCCAAACTCAATGTTTTTATATTTAAACCATACTGCAATAGACCAGAAGACTCCTGACTAAGAAATATGCAGATGCCTTTTAAATGGAAATCTCAAAACTCCCCCACAATTTTAGCATCCCACATGGACAACCCTGAACTGTCAAATTCTGCTTTATTTTACTTCAAATCAATGATGGTTGAAACCTGGGGTCCGTTTCAATAAACAGATTCAATAAACTCTGATTCAAATCTGCTACTCTAAATTGATCCTAAGGTTGGGAACTCAGAGTTTTCAGTTTCACAACAGCTGCTGTGAATTAGTTTGAATTAGCTCAACTTAACTTTATTTATAAAGCCCTTTTAAAACGGCCATACATATCAGGTAAAGTTAAAATGGTATAAAAACAACATAGAAGTTTAAATGAATAAAACATATATAATAAAATAAATTGATTAAATAAAACCAGATTAAAGAAAACAAACCACAAATGCAAAAACAGGGATAGTCTTATGCTGTTTTAAAGGCCAAAGAATAGAAATAGGTTTTAAGATGAGTTTTAAGAATAAGCATTGAAGAGGATTGTCTAATTAAGCGGGTGAGCTCATTCCACAATTTTGGAGAAGCAACTGAAAAATCTCCGTCTCCTCTAAGCTTCTGTTTGGACCTCAGTGCCTCCAGGAGCTGCAGTTCAGCTGACCTGAGGCACCGAGTGGGAGTATAGGGGTGGAGAAGCTCAGAGAGGTAAGGAGGGGCCGAGCCATTTAAAGACTTAAAAACAAATAATCTTAAGATAAACTCTAAAATGTCAGCTAATGGAACTGAAGCATCAATGATTCTGTGCTTCTCCTCTCTATCTCCAGACCCTGAGATGCACAGTTCCACAGTTTACTTTCATCAGAAACTTTCTTTTCATCACTAAGCAGCAGTCTAGTCCTTTAGGTCTTTAATCCAGATACGTATCTGATGCTGTCTTGATCAGGAGTGACCTGACACAATGAATGCGACAGCCAAAACACATGTGATGCATACATCTGCATGGTGGTCCTTGAAGCACTGACTGCAGTCCACTGTTTGTGAATCTCCCCCACAAGTTCAAATGGGTTTGTTTTTATGCGTTAATTCCTATTGCTTCTACACATTTTCTCCTTTGTCTCTCTATTAATGTGCTTGGATACAGAGCTTTGAACAATCAGCTTCTTTATCAATGAGCTTTTGTATGTTGCTCTTTTAATGTAAGGTGTAAATAGTTGTCTTCTGGACAACTTTCATGTCAGCAGTCTTTCCTATAATTATGTAGCCTACAGAACTACACTGAGGGACATTTAAAGGCCTTTGCAGGTGTTTTGAGTTCTTTAGAAATTAGAATATTGTGAAGAGATAAAATAATGAAGACGAACTGATGCACCTAAATTTTCCTGCTCTTACATTAAAGGCCTATTCTGTTCCATTCAATTCCATTTGCCATATTTTTATTTGAATAATTTTTCAAGGTCATTTTTCAGCTTTAGTACCACACTTTCCCCAAGCAGATCAGATGAGCAGGTCCAAGCTTGGCTTCTTTTTCTTAATTATTCCAATCAAACTCTATTTTTGAATATCTTTGGGAAAAAGGGATTTAAGAGCAAACAAAAAAAAGTCTGATGGTTGCTGATAGATTTCTAACAGATAGAGTCCAGCTTGCAATGGCTGAGCTGCTTGATTTTAGGCTTAACACTCATTCAGCTGCCTTAATGCCCCCTCAGGCTATGTAGCGCATTAGTGCCACTGCATTAGCACACTGATGCTCTTATTAAAACTAAGCAAGCACGCTGGGCTTCCTGCACCACTACTATGTAGCTCGGATCCATAAAAGTTAAGCCGTTGCACTTTATGTGTTTAAAGTCGCGAGCAGGCTTCATGTTCTGGTCAGGGATAGAGCATGAGTGCTGAAGAGGGATTCTAGCAACCAGTCCATTGGAATAATTTCACTGTCATTTCTGTGCCATCTCCAATTCATCCCCATAGAGATATGGCAGAGCCTGGGTAATTTTCTGTCTCTTTCCACATGGTGGCTTTGGCATTTCAGTGACATATTTCTCTGGAAACAGTTGAAACCGTTTCACAAATCTAAGTTAATACTTTGTGGCCATGTGCGTTGAGTTTCTAAAATAAAGCACTTAAAATTCCCCGCTGCAGTTTCCAGATTCGACAACTGGTTGCAGTTTAAGCCAACTCTTTCACTGTAGAAGAATATGTTTAAGGTCAGCATGTAGCACATTTAATGAATAATATGGCATATTTTTCTATGTATTTAAGCTTCAAAACATTTGGCAGGTTTAAAAAACGCAAAGCACTTTTCTTTTATGTGAAGCCTTTGGTCTTCAAACACAGCAGCGTTTAATTACAGACATTATTTAGCAGGTAAATGTGAGAAGGCAAGCAGCATCTAGTTAAAGCAGGAAATCTTTAGATGCCTTAAAAAAGAATCTTTAAATACTTTGTAGTGTTTAGTCACAAATGAATAAGATATTTTTTTTACATAGATTTTTTTATTGTGTGTAGAAACCAGAGAGGAAGCATTTCTGGTTTTATTTTGCCCTTTATAACCACATATGCTTTGATCAAGTGTAAAGAAATGAAGAACATCCCATTCTTCATTGTAAAATCTCTTTTAGTTGAGTTAATTGGCTGGAATAAAAACCTCCTTGCAGCAATAAGATGGTCAAAGACATGTTAATAAACGCGAGTCTCGCATTATGTGTGATAAAAGATAACAGTTTTTTTGGGTTTTAAACATTTAAAAGACCTCTGTAGAGATCTTATGTTAATGTTTGAAGGGTTTGCATGTCACAGAGTTTTCCCTGCAGGAATCTCCAGCCACTGTTTAAGCTACAAAATAGATTTTACCTTTTAGTTGCTGCTTTGCATTGTCTTTTAATTTTTTAGACAACTTGCATACAGGAATCTGCTAGTTCTGAGTATCGTTTCAAATCTCAAGAATCAATTTGATTCTGATTTTCAAAATTTCCAACCCATTCTTTTCGATCCAATCTGATCTAATGTCAAATTGTATTGCTGGAATAATATAATAATATATATAATATTTATTTTTCTTTAGCTGTTACCCAAATTACCTGGCTGTGGAGGTATGAAACGTATTGATACTTATTATTTTAACAGTCTACAACAAATCAATAAAGTAATAGTTAATGGGCGATGGTCGAAAATGTATTTTTAAAAAACTGATCTTTTGCTATATGGATTAATAAGAATCTATTCAGAATTGGAAGATTACTAATTTTTTTCCATAGCCTTTATAACTATCTCAGGGTTTAGCACCCACATCTCCAAATTGTGCACAGACCAGCTGCACAGTTTGACATAGCAGTAGACTACAGTTTAATTGCTGCATGCGTGTCCCATTTCAATTTGCTAAAAGGTGATATTAGTTGCCATGGGAGCCAACTCTTTTTTGTTGGCGGGTTTGCCCATAGTTGAACCTATTTTAATGCACATTCTTCTGCACAATTTGAGAGAGTGGTGTCAATAATTAACAAATCTTTTTTAGTGTGTAAGAGTCCTATACCTTTGTTCTGTTGTGAACATAAAGACCTAACCTCCTAGAAGACTTAACATTTTAATTTATATTTAAAGTGGAAGTATTTTTCTTTCTCTTGTTTCTTCTCTCATAAAGGTCCTCGGTGGGCATCATGGAACCTGGGCGTGTTCATGTGTATCCGCTGTGCTGGAATCCATCGGAACCTTGGAGTCCACATCTCCAGAGTCAAATCTGTCAATCTGGACCAGTGGACACCTGAGCAGATTCAGGTATATAGACACAGACAGACCCACACCCATAACCCATCATAGGAAAAATTTTCATCTATCTGCTTTTACAGCTTCATTCAAATGTTGTACGCTGTGCTTTGGCTAAAGTGGACTCACTTTTCTTCGTCAAGTAAGAAATGTGGTGTATTCATTTCCAGAGGTAGAGCAGATGCAACGGGGATTTAATGAAAGAACTTGTGGCCTTTGAAAATGACTCGCGTAGTTTCCCTTGAAGCACTAAACAAAAGCTTTACTGAAGCAGAACAGCTAAGTGGTGCCTAAAATGAGAGGAGAAATTATTAACTAAAGTAAGGAAGTTCCTCTATGATTTAAGTATTTATTTTTATACTAACATGAGGAAAGAAGGTAATAAGAGTATTGTTGGCCACATGTGATGCGTTGTGCTTTATTAAGCTCCAGATCAAAGATCCTGTGTGTGCATCTGTCTCACTCTTACGAGGATGCCAGTACTTTTCCAAATCATGCAGTTGTTAATAAATAGCACTGTTTACTGCATGTGTGTGTGCTAAAGTACTTTGGATTAGCCTCTCTCTGTCAGCTGTGTGTGAGTAGGAAAGGGTCTCACTTAGAATGTTAATCACTGTATTCAGTGACTAATTAATTCTGGATGCCTGATTATTCCGACTCTGTCTCCTCCATTTCTCCTATCATCAACCCATCCATCACGCTCCTCTTAATTTAGCCTTGTTGCATACAGCCACTGTGTCCTTTACTGTGTCTGTGCATGCATGCAAAGGAGTCGGCGGGCAAAATGAGTTGAATGCAAATGTGATGAGTGAAAGAACCCGCTGTGCTCTGGGCCGAGTCTTTTACCAGTTGCCTCCCTGCCTATTACATTGTTTTTTTGTTTTTTTATTTCTTGCTTGTAATTCTTAATTAAATTTCTTCCTTTTATTGCAGAGTATGGTGGACATGGGCAACACCAGAGCTCGCCAGCTGTACGAAGCCCACCTACCAGAGAACTTCAGGAGGCCGCAGACAGACCAGTATCCTTCCACTGATTTGCCATATAATATTCATTCACGCATAACGTCATAATAAAAATGATATTTTCCTTATTAAAATAAAAGTCCTCCCACGGTCATGGTAAAATGAAAGCACAGCACCTCTCCATTGCAGGATTATACATGTCAGAGAATGACTTTAGAATAATTTCAACCTAACCACATTACTGTACATATTCCACACTGTTTGTTAGTAAACAGAAAACATGTATGTGGAAATAGTAAGTCCACCCCAGGGGTGCAGAACAAGATGTCTATTTAGCATTAGTAACTCCTATAATCTGGTCTTAAAGAAGCAGATTATTTTTCTGGATAAGTTTATCAGTCTTTCAGATCATTGCTTCTGTTCTTTTAAGGCCTTTCACTATAAAACATTTTGCTGGAAGATGAGATGACCCAGAGAATATTACAAAAAAAAGATTGTTGTTTCGAGACATTTTTTTTATTGCATCACCATACAACCCAAACAGTCTTTGATCTCCTAAGGTATTTTCTCTTTTGTGCTGTTGCACAGCTATGCAATTCTTACTGTTGTAGGTGCGATTACTTTTTGGATTTAATTTGGTGATTAAGCCCTCCAGTGATAGTAGATTATCAGGAAGCCCGAGGTGGTAACGGAAATTGTAACTGCATAACAACATGTACAGGTTGTCGGTCATTTGGCTGAAATCCAAAGCGCTCCCGTCCTGCCGCTGTCTCTTTCAGCTTCTAAAACAATTCCATCTTTTTTAAAATTTCGACACCCATTTCACAGACTTGCTAATCCTCACCGGGCTTTCGTGTGACGCTCTGGTACGTAACAGCATGAGATAATTTGTCTGGCCAGCGCCTGATGCTTGAGTTAACTCTGGCCTGTTCTGAGGAAACAAGAAAGGAGGTTTGAGCGGAAATGGATGCACAGGAGGGAAACATTTAGTCGCCCAGTATTAAGTACGGTAATAAGCGGGAGACGGATGGAAAACAAACAAGCATTGAAGTGGAAATTATCGAACTCATTTACATTTTTACTACAAATACTATTCATATTATTAATTGTTTTACTATCGTGACAGACAGTTTAAGAGGTCTGTTTTTTCCACACAACTGTCTTTATATCGCATCACACCATTTCCATCAGATTAAGGTCTGAGCTTTGCACTTAGCACTCCCATTCTTTCCTTTTTTGGCCTCTTTGTCATAGATTTGCTTTCGTGTTCAGGAACATTGTCAGTTTCCTACATGCCGCTTCTTCTTGAAACAAGCGAGAAATTTTAGCTTCACTTGATTCTCTTATTGTTTTGGTGAGCCTGAAATCTCAGCAGGAAAATATGTAAAGGTTGATCTATTATACTGAGCAGGTGAAGTCAATTTAAAGGTATGTTCTGAAATATCAAAAACAATGTTACCACTTTTCCTACTAAATTAATCTTTGCACTCGTAATCATTTACATTAATAAATAATACAAATAATTTAAGTCTATAGATCATTAATTATACATAGTGCTGAATTTGTAAGTTTATTCATTCATTCAACCCATCAGCTTCATTGTTTTTCCCCGGACCCCTCCAGCTGCATCTGTGTCTACAGCGATATAACAGTAGACTTCAGTTTGCCCTCCTTTGTGATAAAAGGCATGACAATAACTGCATACTCTGATATTTCCATCAGCAGACAGAAATAAATAAACTCTGTGTGCAAAATGTGGGTCTAATACAGTATCTGGGATCTGGCAGAGCCCATTTGTGCGGGTGGTCATCGCTCTTCATTCTTTTTGAAGTCCATTAGTTGTTCTGACAGCGGCGGTGCTGGCTGAGAGCTGCAGATAACAGGCCCAAGATTAACAGAGCGACCGCCTCGACATGTGCGATTCTGTGCATGTTTGTTTCTTCCTCTCACCACAACATGCTGGACTTTAAATAAGAAAATCTGCTTGTTTAAGTGATTGTGTAGTCAGCATAAATATATGCAATAGCTTTGGACCAAGGCTAAGAAAATTCCTTTTGACCTCTGAAATATAAAAGAATATATCAGCACTTAGAACTAAGCTTTGTTTTATTTTACACAGCATGCACCATTATAAGCTTCTTTAAAATCAGAAGGTTAGGACTCTTTGAACTGAGATGTATGTATTAAGTATTATTCAAGCTGTGTTTGTTTTGTTTATGCTGAGACCTTCAACTGCTGATCTCTTTGTCTCAGCACCTTCATGAGCAGGATTTGTTCCCAGCTGCTAGCAATATTAAAAATCTTATGTTTTTTTTAACAGTCAGCAGTGCGTATATAATCAGATGGAGACTGCGGCTAAGGGCTGAGCTCTATGCAGAGCATTGATCTCCATTTATTGCATAGTTGTTGGTAGTATGGCCTTATCCTCACTAATAAGCATATCAGGCTTAACACTTTTTGTCCACGTGAAGATTATCGCTTACTTTTTTCTAAAGTTTTTTTATGATATATTTTCTCCAGGTGGTGGAAAACATTGTTTCAATGCCTCAATGTTGGAGCATCCTCCATTTCCTGTAACAGTCCCGCCATTCAGCTCATGGTATCCCACTATGATTCTGAGTGGGGCTGTGGATTGCATCCTATCTGCTGTGTTGTTTCCGCTCCTCTTTGCAAAAAAGGCAACACAGTGTGGGTGGTCAACCGATGGGGTGGAATAGCTTTCACATGTTTACAGTGCCGGTTGTCCAAGTTTAAACAGTAAACGGTTCCATGACCTAATCTCAGCAGTCCCCCCCATACTTTGTTTTGGCACAGTTTTTTAAATAAGTCTTGAAATATTTTCAGCTGTTATTGTAATATGTAAATTATTTATCTTCTGACCAAAATGCACCATCTTAGGCTTTATTTGCATCCACTTCCAGTTGCCTGTCTTCTTATAACACAATACCGAGATGCAAAATTACATATTTCCATTTAGAAACTGCTGCTATTTTTAATCAAGCTATTTATTTTTTATTTGTTTTTATTATTTATTTTTTTTATAGCATAAAAGAGACCAACAGATAAGTTTAGATTGACTTGCAGCATGTCAAGGAATGCAGATAGAAACATAAACAAACAAAAACATTTTCATATATATATATATATATATATATATATATATATATATGGTATATAAGAATACAAAGTAAAAAAAGTTCAGAGAGGGAAGAATTTTTAGAATTAAAATTCAGTTCAGCCTATATTGGTTTTACCAACATATTTCAAGAAAGGATTCCAGATACTTGGAAAAACTACCTATGTAGTCCTTATGAAGTCTCATGGTATTATAGGCATCAGCTGCTTGTTTTTTTTTAAGTAAGGAGGTGTGGAGGACTCCAATGAATTTTTTGGCAACTATCAGTCCTAGTAGGTATCGTCCTTAGCATTTGACAGTCCAACAATTATACAATTATAAAGTCCAGGTTCAGGGATTGGGGGCTTTAAATGTGCCCTAGTGCGTTGATTTCCAAAAGGGATTGATGCCCAACTTGAGGTCATTGATATTCCAGCTTATAATATTTAGATTAGCTATAGAAATTAAATTAAATGATATACATTTATGTTAAAATACTTAAAGATATAAACCGTTCTTTAGAAATAGACACAACCAGTTACTTTGGTTGCTGATGCCAGTTTCTAATTATTATTATACATATGGCTAATAGATTTTTATAATGTTTGTATACTTCACCAGTAATTTGCATCATTAGTTGACTCTGGCACCATTTTATGGGTCAAAAACTAAGAGGTTGGAAACCTCTACCCTAGAGTAGCCATCAATTATTGTAGACCAAATTCCACTTGAGAATGACTATTTACTGAGCAAGAATGGATTTTGGATTACGGTGTGTTCCACATCTGCAAGCCATTTTGATTCAGTCTTACACCATACACTTTGTGAAAAGAGAAGTCTAAGATAAGATTATGCTATTAACAAGTTTCTAAAGCTATCTAATGTTTTTACACAGGAAGACTGTACCTATACTGGAGGGACAGCGCTCCAAAAACAAATATACCTCATTTAATACCAATATACTAATATACCTTTGTCTTGTGTCCAGGTTCTTACAGCTTGTAGACATTTTTGGGATAAAAACGTTTGTTTTTGAGTATGACATCTGACTGTTTTTAATAAAAAAAAGTATCCTTAACTCCAAACTTTAGAGCTGTTGAAGTGTTCATCCGCGACAAATATGAGAGGAAGAAGTACTACGACCAGGAGGCCCTGGCTGCAGCTTCAGTGAGTATCATCAGCACGTGTTTTATTCTCCATTTTCAGTCAGTGCATGTTATTGTTACAGCTTCAGTAGTTGGAGGCAGTTTTATGTAACCTGCTCTGCACTGGTAGCTGATGGGTTGTTTGAGGCCAGAATCTGTAGAGGACAGAAATCATCCTTATGCAAAACAACAACTTTTTCTTTCCCTTTAGCTTTTATGTCTCCTCCTTTGTTGAAAATATCTCACCCCGCTGAGCAAAAACTGACTCATATTATATTTTGAAACTCCAAATATACAGCTTGATATTTAAAATTCTTCATCATTCATAACTTCCTGAATGACTATAATAACATGGTGAATGGCAGAAATGCTCTTTTTTTTTCCCCCCTTCAAGCATTTATTCTGTTGCTGAGTTTTGGTTTCATCAGACTCGATGTTAACTCCTACAAACTCTTTGCTTCTGGATCTGTTGCTGCTCGCATGTTCTGTCCTACGGTCCATTACAGTAATGGTGTTTTTTAGGTTTAAATCCACGTAGAGGCATGGGAAGCACTTTCAGCCATGATTACTGCACACCAGAACTGAATCCAGGACTTTACTTTACAAACGATTTTACTGAATACGATTCATTGGAATGAATTGTATTAATTCCAATGAATTTCTGTCCACCAAAACTCTTAATTTTAGGGTATCCATGCATAAGAAATATGAAAACATTAAAAATATGTTTACAAGTTCCAGTTTTGTTCATATTTCCATCTTTTTTCTCATCAGTGTCAAAGAGTTAAGGGCGATGCACGCTCCTGCGACGGGAGGTAATTTTAGGCAGGCAGGTATTTCTCGGCACAAAACCAGGCTGCGTCAAACCACAGCCGTAGTCTGATACCTTCAGTTGATTCTGACCCATGACGTGCATAGGTCATTTCGGCTTGTAACATGTCCTGTACAATAGAAAGAGAAACTAAGAAATTGCGGAGGGGTGCCAACCCTTTAATACTTTTAATTATTTCAAGCCACTTTTGGCTTGAAATAATTCATTTTATGTTGTAGAATTCAACATTTTCTCACTGTTTAATTTACTAAAGTTTACTAAATCATTCCTTGTGGGGGTTTGCTGATATTTCTTTTTTTTTCGTTTGCTTGGATCACCATGAGTTGCAGTTTCCCGTATCTACTTTTCCTCGCGTCCACACATTAAACATACTCAACAAGGTGCAAAAATCGTACCAGAAAAAAGGAAAATACAGCAGGTATAAGCACAAATTAAAACATAGGAAAGAACCAAAATACTAATATGAAAATATTTTAGTATGAAATATGCTGTAGGTTATTTATGCAATACATTAACAAAAAATCAATCAATATGGATACATTACAGGATTGATTAAATTAATCAAGAAAAATGGAAAAAAGATATAAATCTTCTAAAAATTTTTTTTTAAATGTATTATTCTGACACACTCAATGTTTTATTCAGGTAATTTGTTGTTATGCAAACATAACTGTATAGCACTGACACCCTAAAAGGAATTTGCATAAGCTTTGGTTGTAAAACATCATAATAATAACAATAAAAAAAAAATGATAACACAAATAATAATTACACACATTAGGACTGAATAACAGTACGTAGTCTTTGGATCGCTGGAGCCTATAATGTTTCTAATCAGCAAGGCCATTTTAAAAATAAACCTGGATTTGTGGTAGAATACATTTTATCTTTTTAATAAAAAACTATTGGACATGTGTGTAAGACCTTTGTCTCAAGGTCCTTATACAATCTAAGTAATTATGTTTACGTACATGCTCTCTTAGTCGCCCTGCTTCTAGTGTGTGATTGTGTGCATGTCGTTGGAGTGTCCGGCAACCGGGCTCTGCTTAGTTTTCCTGGTTCAAAACCTGAAAAACAAAAACTAGTCCATCCCAAAGAGAGTACACCTAAACCAAACCTGAGCATCTTTTTTTTATTTGGCCCAAGCGCAGCGAGGACTGTTTGATCTCCCACATCAGAGAAATCAAACAGCAACATCATAAAGTACTGTAGCACAGGAGAGCCAGTAGCTCTGAGCAAGATTAAGTGGTACACTTGCACCTCGAGAATTGAAGACACACCTTTGATAAGTAAAATTTTCCACCTTTGGACAGCCATCTTTGTTAAAACAGAAATGGTAAATGGCCTGTACTTGTACTATAGCGCTTTTTCAAGTCAGGAGATTTGACCAAAGCACTTTACACTACATTCAGTCATTCACGCAACACACTCACACACTGATGGTGGCAAGCTACACTGTAGCCAAAGCTGCCCTGGGGCACACTGAAAGAAGCAAGGCTGCCGTACACTGGCGCCACCGGGCCCTCTGACCACCATCAGCAGACAATGCAGGTGAAGTGTCTTGCCCAAGGACACAACAACACTGAAACCCGGAGCCGGGGGTTGAACTGTCAATCCTTCGATTTCAGGGCAAACTCCTACACCCGACTCCACTGTCGACCCTGTCGCCCCCAGAAAAGCAAACACTATACAGAAGGGAAAGAGTACTGTTCAGCTCCAGAGCATCTACAGCTCTATCCTGGAACTTATCTCGCTGAGGTTGTGTGACCAGTATCATCATGATTTAAATGGCCAAACACAAAACCTATACCAAACAACAGACTGAAACGACCCAGGAGCCTGACTCTTATGTTTTTTTATCGATCAAAAGTAATCAAAATTTCTGAAACACTAAATTTTGGATTTTCATAATCGTCAAAATATTTAATGCCTTAACAAATACAGTTAAGGCATTAAATATTGTAATGCTCATGTTATAAATGACTTTTAACTTTTGGAAATGGGAATTAAAAATGTTTAACTTTTTTTTACATTTTTTTAGCTGTACTTATATTCATACAACAAAGCATGGTAGTGGCAGCATCATTTTGTGAGGTTATTTTTAGAACTGGAAATGATGGGGAAATTATTCATTTAGTTTTAATCAGTTTATGGGTTTATTAAAACATTTTTTGTGTAGTAGTAAATATACATCCAAATGAAGAAAAACAATCATGTAACGGTAGCAAATTTTAAATTTTTATTTAACACACAACCCTGCAATTAAATCATACTTAATTAAAAATATTTTAATTATAATTCTTGCTGCCAGACCCTCAATATGAAGGAAAGGGAAAACAAAGAGCTAGCTGGCAAGGTTTTAGATGGAGCTCACCAAAGGCTGTAATATTGATGCAGACAATCAGAGAAATCTCCCGTTTTCTCCTTCTTGTCCTCTCTTGTTTTTTCTGAGGCATCGTCAGCAGCCAGACTGTGATTCAAGATCTGTTGCTGTTGCCCACACAGTGGGCTCTTCTTTTATATGCAAATTAATTATTAAAAGAAACTCTTTATCACTTTAAGTAGTTTCCCCACAGATGGTAAAGGGAGAGGAGAAGCCAGACTACTGTGACTCTGAGCTGTAGTTGCTTCGGAAACAGAAAAATATCTCAGGTGGTTTTATTTTTGTTGAGTTTAGAAAAGAATCTGTTCACTTCATCTTAATGTTAAAGGATTTTTTATCTGTAAAAGGTGAGATTTAATGCACATAAAAAATAAAACCTTATTGTGATTTATTATATAAATGGTAAAAACAAAAACTGCAGTATAACAGTAAGTAGTCAATTAATGTCCTTTATATCCAAAGTATTGTTTCAGCTCAAACAATGCATGACTTTTGGACGGACAGGAGATGCAGTGGAATGTATTAAAAGTTAATTAACTTCTTTTTTCAGTTCTTAAACAAAGCTCATTGATATTAATCATGGACAGAGTTTTAGTGCTGTTTATGTTGCCCGCGCAAATTCTCAATTATTCTGGTTTTGTAACCATAAAATCAGATGGGCCGCGCTTCGACTCCTTTTTTCTGAAAAGGTTTCTACTAAGGCTGGGTGATGAAACCATCCCTGAACAGAGGGGGAGGATTTTTTTTTTTCTTTCGTCTTGAATTGTGAATCTATATTTTAAAGATATTTTATGCTGTCTGTAACCCATGCATCTATGTTTTATGTTCACTTCATGTTTTAGTGCACAATTATTAAATAGTCACAGGATAGCGGATAATAGGACCTTGAAGTACATGAGTGCATGCTCTCCTTTTCCTCTGCTCCTGTAGTGGCAGTTCATTGCTCTGTCATGGGTGAATTAGTAGGTGTGCATCTGTGTGTGTTGTTGGTCTTATTTCAGTAGAACTTGAATGAGTGTGCATCTTGCAAACCCTCTGTGATGACTCCACCGATTGGCCTAAAAACGTCAAAAGGGAGCAGCAATGATGCCGCAGGGAGGAGTTTGCTTATTCTCAACCTTATATTTCTGTGTTAGTCATAGGACTGTCCTGCCATGTGTGCAGCCTTGGCTGCCTTTTTAACTGCCATACAGTGACGTTTGTGGACAGGCCAGTTGAAAGCCTTGACTAGGCCTGGGACAAGATAATCTTATGTTTTTATCCAGCCATGGTATTCCGTTATTAGTTTCTCAAATTTTGCATTTAAAGACGATTGACATCTGTCTCCTTTTTCCTTTGACCCCCCTCCCTTACTTTCCTCCTCCCTCCTCTACCCTCTAATCTCCTCATACTTTTGTTTTAGTTTTCCTTCCTATAACATGTTCAAAATAATAAAAGGCTAACAGAAACATTAATTCCCAGAGTAAAAAAGTGTTTTATAGTATTTTATTTCCTCATTTTAATAATGGGATTGTATGTTCCAAATGCATATTTCAGCATATTTTATTGGTCACAATTTGTTATTTTGTACATGTTTACTTTTGTGTTACTCTTTTGCTTCCAATGCTTAGTACAGCATATAATTGTGTCATATATAATACACCTGAGCTTCTGATTGATTAACCAGCACATTGATCTGTAAGCCAAACATTTTTTTCTTTACTCTACTGATAACCATGGTGATGCAGTTTGATTCGTAATCTATATAATTACCAGTAATTAATACAAGAAAAATAAGCATTACAGAGTTTCCTAATGCTACTGCCACCTGTGGCCACAACACAGAATTGCAGCTGGCAGCTCTTCTGCTTGACCTTGTGCTTGTACTTAATAAGGTTTGTTTTTTCCTTTTTCACCTTACGTGGAGTCAGCATTGGTGTCTGAGTTGAGCTGGATTCCGGTCGCTTCCAAGTATCCACAGAATACATATTGAATAGAATGTTTTGATAGTTTGGTAGCTCGGGCCCGTTAAAAATTTCACATCCGCCGAACAGCGTGGGAACTTCTGACCCAAAGTAAAATCAGAAAGATAGGCTACAGGCTTATAGATGCATCGCCTCTGAACCACTGAGATGTCAGTCTGCTAATCAAGCAATGCTTTGGTAGTAAAGCGTCAAATAAAAAGGCAATTTTAAAGATATTTTTCTGTAAAAATGTACATATTCATTAAGACATGGTAATATTTTTTATCTTTAACACTTCAGAAATTTTACAATTTTCCCATTTTTGAACACCAATCTAATGACTTTTTAAAGTACTGAATTGTGACACTTTGGGCTTTCCGTACTTTTAAGTTGATCTAATTTGTTTGTGTCATGATACTCACTGTGTTCCTTTTTACATTTACTTCAAGTGCTAGGAGCTAAAGTTGAGGTTTTACAGCATTCACTATGAATAATCTCCAGCTGCAGAGCCTGAGGCAACTTCAGACCAAAGCAAGTTACAAAAACTCCATCCAGTACATTTACCAGCCTCCAAATATAAACCCACTGGACTTCATTTAATTGTAACGCTGCTAAGTTAACGAGTGTAATTGAGGTCCCTCTGTAGGTGACAGTGAATGGCAGTGAATCAAAGGTAGGCCACACCTGCAGCTTAAAGCATGTTCTTCAGATGACTGAGAGTACTTGAGAAAGCACAGGAGGAAAGTTTGAATCAGCATATTTTCTCCTCCTTACCTGCAGCTTACAAACGTGAACTTTTCTGGAGCTCTTACTTAATAGTTCTTGACCAATAATGCAAGGATGCTCTTTAAAGACAACTAGGAGCTGTTGTTCCTATTGACTTGCAATAATCTAGTCATAGTTCAAACCTCCCCTCGATTAAAATTCTAGGTTGAGCCTAAATGAGCCTTATTGTTGCTGTAGGTGGTTCTGTTACCTTAGAAAATAACGGGGTGTACTAATTTACTTTACAGCTTATTGCTGGTTTGAACAGTACTACCTCTGATTAGCCCTTTGGGTCCCTAGTCAGTGTTGGTTTGGAGGATTTATTGTCTCTTAGTTTCCACTTCAATAAATGGATGCAACCATCTGCTTCTACAGGGGAGCACAGTATGACAGTTTGCTGCTTCTCACTTAGCAATAAATGAAGAAACTGAATCAGACTGCCTTGGATTATATTTAAAATCAGATTAAAATGTGTGTGACCACCTCTAATCTCTATATGATTGGATTGGATTGCTGTGAACTCTTTATTGTGCATTTCTTCGCAACTGGAAGTGACTTCATTTTTTTATATTTTGCAAAGTCCCTTGAGATGACTTTTATTGTGTATATATAAAGGTTATCTGATTTTAAACAATGCCAATCTATCCAGTTCTAATACTAAATGCCAATGAAAGGTAACAGAGCATCCACTTTGATTTTATGGCTGTAATACCATTTTCTTTTTTCCTTTCAGTGATCTAAGTCCTAATTCGTCCTAGCAGTCCTCTTGTTCTCTACACTCTTCTTATTCCCCTACTGTCTCATTCCCCTTCACTCACGCCTCTCCCCTTCCAGCCTATTTCTCTTTATCATCCTCAGCGGCCCGTCTTTGCATGTTTAAAGCTGGGCTTACGTCTCCTGCAGCGCTAAAGTCCGAGGAGGAGGAGGAGGCGGCTTTAATGGAGAGGGGGGGGACCCTTAAAGACCTCAACAGAATCAGTGAAGGGAGCAGAAAATGTTCTGAATTCACCACCACAGGCAATGAGAGCAAGACGTCTTTTGATGCCTTAACAGTTGATGAGGGAGGAGGATGTAAATGAAGAAAGATGAAAACACTCCTCTGTCCTGCCTTTAGTAGTCAGCATTAGTTTTCTGCCTGAGGTGGTTTAGAGAGGAGAGGATGGCAGTAGGTAGAGTTTGTTAGATCAGCTATTTTTGGAAATGTTTTTTCCCTTTGTCTGGTTTTAGCATTAGAGGCAAAGAGATGTTTTGTATTCTTCATCTGCAGCAATAGAGTTAGTCTTCAGGCTGAGTTTATAAGACATTTGATTGCTAAACCACTGAATATCCTATATCATGTTCCTTCCATTATAAACCACAGAGCAAAGTATCCTTTACCTGGCTTAAGAGTCGGTGTAATAAGCTAAGAAATTACTGTAAAACATTAGCATGTTTTTGGGGGACATTCATTAGAAATTTGAATGCTTGTCTTATTTGGTTTGTGCTTTTAAGTTTGACCCAAACCAAAATGAGTCGTTCAGAGCTGTTCGGTCATAATCGGTCTGGAGGAATCTGTAAAGAGAGCAGAGCAAAGGCTTAAAGGCTTATTGGAAAAGCCCCAGTGTTGTATAATGCTATAAAACTTGTTTTACCATTTTATAGTATCAGTCTGAGGGACCAATTTCTATTTTTTCATCAAAAAAAGTGATGCAATGAGTTTTAAGGCACAAACACCAACAGCAGCAGCAGACATTGCTGCACATTTTACACTACAGAAAGAGGAGGTTTACAATCTATAAAGATTTAAAAAGCAACTATAAAAAAAGAATGAAACATTGTGAATGCAGAGAATGCATTGCAGCATTTCTCAATATATATATATATATTTAAGGTAAGCTGAATAAACTGCAGTAAGTAAAATATCAAAAAATGTTTTATCCAGATAAACAAACCTGACAGGTCTTTGGCTTAACAGCTACTAACTCAGCCTAGTTCATCTCAGATTTGCATTTTAAATTTCTTTTAAATATCTAATAAAAATGTGGCACATTCTAGAAAATAGGATGAAATGCTTTTCTTTTTTTCATGGCTTTCTATTCCACACTATTCTGACCTTACAACTCTCATAGCATTTCTAAAAGCGTCACTTCAGAGGTTGAGAAGAGAAGCTTAAGCAAGACGAGGCGAAAATCTCCTGGGAAGCTGCGATGCAGAGAAATGGAGCAAACAGACGGTAAAACATAAATAAGTAGGAGATGCAGACAAGGGCATGGTTGCATCAGAAGTACTAAGTTAAATCTGTTAACTGTCAACAGAAAAGCTGTAGGACATTCTGCGTTGAAGAAGCTGATGGGAGTGGATCAGTGTGGGTCATGTTGACAGATTGAGGATGGCAGTAATGATGGTTTCGCTTTCATTTCTTGTGGCTCACCTGCTTTTATGACGGATTTTGTGGGCAGTAGGCCGTTGAAAGCATTAGCAGAGCTTTTCACTTTGTTGGTTTGAAGTCTCCTAAGTGTCCTGAACATGAAAGTGTTGTGCATGCAAATGGAGAAATTAAAATGAACCTTTCCTTGCTTTGTTCTTTCTGGCTCTCCCTGAAGTCTTTAGTTATTCCTCCATATCCTTTATTCATATGCCTGTTGGTGCAGAGCCACATACTGAGCTTTGTAAAGTTCAAGACAAAGGAGCTTTCTTAGCACAATAACTGACCTTGTAGGCTGCCTCCATCAGAATCGGTAAGGTTTCATATGTTTTTTTTTTTTTTTTTAGTCTAGGCTTTTCTTTTCTTTTTTTTTTTTTTTTACTAAGATTTTACTTTTTAAAGATGAACAATCGCTACCTATTCTAAATTTGACCTATTCTGCTCTTATTCTGAACTCTGACCTGCTCATCATGTTTTCCCTCCTCAGAATCTTAAAAATGACCTTTTGTTAATTTGTAAATAATGCTCCTTTAGTTCATTGAAGCTCAAACAGACCCACAACACAATTTAAACCAGGTTGAGATCTGGGTCATTGAAATACTCTGATTCATTTTTAGTTTCACATCAGTTATCTTTAACTGCTACAAATATCTTTTAAATATATTTGAATTAATCTATCAGCTGATGAGACTGAATGACTAATATAATTTTCCTTTGTATAGATTTTAGACCAAAAAATAAAATCCTTATTTCAAAATACAATTTGTATACATCTGTTCTGTCTCCAGTATTACACATTCCCCCCCCCCCAAAAAAACAAAACAAAACCGGCTTCTAAGCATTCAGTGGCCTGAATGAATGTCCAATCCTGGGAAAATTAAATGTTTTCCATTTAAGGAGAGTCTTTATGTCCGTATAATGATGAATAGTCTTAAAACCTTCCCAGATTGACAGTAACACACCCCTATATGCAGCAAATCGACAATAAAACAATTCGGATGAAGATCAGTTCATTAAGTACATTTGATCAGCAGCCCTTTGCTATAATATTGCTACATTTGATATTTTTTATTTTTTCTTACAGCTGTGTATTTTTCTGTGCTGTTGGTGGCGAGGCTATAGGAGAACAGCATCTGTGTCACATTTATGAATAATTACACATTAGAAAAAAAAAACTACTCCTGTTAGGATTTCTGTTCCAAGTGATATTCTTCCTCTTAGATTAATGAACCAAGTATAACTGACTAAATTGTTAAACTCGCCAGATGCTCTGTGATGAAGTTTGTAGAGAAACTCTTGGGGATTTCCTGTGTTGTTCGCTTTGAGGATCTTTTACCATCTGGTTTCTCTTTCCTGCTCTAAAACAATTTAAGAAGTCAGAAATCTATTGCTTGGGTGAAACAGGCAGTCATTGCAGAATAAAGGTCCAGCTATGCTCCTGGTCTTTTTCAGGGGTCAACAGCAGGCTAATAAAGGCTGTCTGTTCTCTGTGTAATTTTTAGGACTTGAGACTCACTCCGTGTGAGAGAAAATCCTCCTTTATTCCTAATTAACTGAGTGCTCTCACAGCTTCCCTTTTCTATCCCCGCCATGCCCTTCTTAATGTTCTGTCTCTTTTTATTTTCATTTCATTTTCTTGTCTTCTTGTGTCTTCCAACAGAAAGCTGAAGCGACCGCTCCTTCCACCTCGCCGTCCTCCCAGGCTGACAAGACCAGATCAGAGGTGTGGGTTTCTTCTATATTTTTTGCTGTGCTAGTGCAAAATATTTCTTTAAGTTCTCCTTTGTTGGTGTCTTTGCAAAGTTAGACATAGAAGGGATTCAGAGTTCACACATATCCTTAGTCTAACTTTCTGAATCTTCATCCAAATAGGCAGCTTTTCCTCACAATGTGGAGGAAGGGAAAAAAAACCTGTAGGATTATCTGATTCTTCAGAAATATGTATTTCAGGGTGCAAACTTAAGGATTCTGCAAGAACTAGCTTAAATTAAGTCAAAATGAAGGCTTAAGCTACCCTAGAAAAACCAATGTAATTTCATCTTCCTGCTAGAGATGTACAGACCTTATATTAATATTCGTATCGGTTCTGATATTGAAGGAAATTATGCTTTCAATTTGTTAGGAAATGTATCTAGTCAGTTCCAAAATAAATATAATTTAGGTTGAAATCTCTTGAACAGCAGGGAAGTTTTCCTTTTTATGGTCATCTGTTTTTTATTTAATTAATACGGTCATTTTGATCCCTTACTTTGTTTACAGGATGGAATTTAAACTGATGGAATTTTCTGACATGGTAATCTCAATATTCATGTGTAAATTCATCCATATAATACAGTTATTATTATAATATGAAAGCAAACAGAACTTTGGTATAAGAAAAGCATTACTGTATATAGGTAGTAGTAGTAGTAGTATAGGATCTACAGATATCCAAATTTAAGTATTAGAATTGGATCAGAAGTGAAAACATGTGGATTGTTGTATCCCTACTTATTGCTTTTTTAAGTTATTTTATAATTTGCTCGGTTACTGAACAAAAAAACGGGTTGGCTTTCGCAACAACTTGACAGGTTTGAGTGGTGCCTCCTTTGTTCCTGCCCTGTTGCAGATCCATTAAAAAAATGTTATTCAAATAAGTGCAAAAGCTTTTGAATTACACCATTTGACACATTGCTGCTGTTGGCCTCATCCCTATCTTATTTTTTATCCTAACTGTAGGATGGTTCTTTTGATTTCTTGAGTATTTTTCTCCTCTCACGTATGCACATTCCTTTTAATTGTTTGTATGCTCCAAAACAATTTATCACTTTATATATTTAAAGTAGCCATAAGCACATTTTCACCACTTACTGTCTATAGACCAAAACAACACCACATCTTAATATATCGTTCTATCTTGTTTCTTAGATGCTCACTAACACATATTGTAGTCCTTTGCCATCAGCAGATGTTGAGAGGTAGTATAGGCTTTCGGTATCAGTTTCCTTTAGTTCAAGCATATTGAGGTCAACAGAATCTTTAATAACATAACACCAAGTAGGATTGTCCTTTAAAGCAGGAGAAACGGAAAGATGTTTAGCCAGGTCTTTGGTTGCCTATTGGCAAAGACAATGAATTTTTATAAGATAGATGATTTTTTTTAACATGTACTGTACATGTAAATTTTTTGGGTTTTATCATGGAGAGCTTCATCCTTTCATATTTTTCTAACTTTTGGTTTTGTAATTCTTTTCTGGAAAGCTCTAATCCCAATTTTGCCAGCTTGTCTCTGCCCAGTAAGGACGTATGTAAGGCTGAAAGCTTTAGCTTTCCTACCCTAGATGATGTTCTTACTGTTGGCTCCACAAAAGGTGAAGGGATAGGAGCTATAATTTGAGGTATTTGGATTGAGCCATCTGCTGGCTAAATAGACAGGAACTGATTAAAAACTTTGGCATTGAGGTGTTAGTCAACATTGCAACGGTGCTGACATTGCTGCAGTTTTGTTTTATTAGTAATGATCAGATGTAGGAGTGTAATGGGCTTCAAATGCTGCACAAGCAAATTGGCTAATCCTAGCTTCATTAGATCCTAGTTAATGAAGTCTGAGACCTGGAGCAGTGAAAAGAGCTTTGAAGTTGATAAGCCCAAACTCTCTATTAGATGTGCTAGAAAAGTGCTGGCAAACTGTGAGGATTTCCGTTTCTTTTGTCACATGCAGTTGTTTTCAGCCATTAAAAAAAAGTCAAAATCTATGTATATTTTTAGTTTTGATAATAATTACTTTGTGATAATTTGCATCATTGAGGAGTCTGTGTGAAGAAGTAACACCCCGCTGCTTAATAAAATGTGTTGTTTGATCCACTCTATAAAGCTTGGATCTCAATGTTAATTCTGATATTTTGAATGAAAAAGCCATCTTTAAACTTGGAAACAAAGTCGAATGGATTGTTTTTTTAAGCTTTTTTGGAATGACTATGACCTGGATGACTGGGAATCTTCACCAGCTTAATAAAATGTATGTAATCTGTAATTAACCACTTTTTTTGTGAAGCTGGAAGGAAATCTGATTACTGCCAGAATTCTAAATCTAATTTATAGGACCTAACTGACAACATGAAGAGTACTATGTTCTAATCTGATAAAACTGCAGGAAAAAATGTAATGTAATCAAGATCAACTACTATCTCATCCAGTAGCGAAAGGCCTTAGTTGGCCCAGTTAATGTGTTCATTATTAGACAAAAAGAAGAAACGGGGTTAGAATAGCTTTCCTGTAAGCGTCCCAAAGCCACAACACACAAATGGGACTCCACTTAATGATTATCTCCAACATATTTTGTACTATGGTCTGTAAGCTAGACTAGACCTTTTGGAGAGTGTAATAACCATTACAAAAAGAACATCATCCTGGCAGCTGAATGTGGTAGTGTAATATTCTGGGCAACTTTGTTTGTTAAGGTCTTGGACAAGTTGCAATGATTGATAGAACGTATTTGCTGTTTATATAAAAAATGCTCAAGAAGAATGCAATCAGTTACTAGGCTTTAGCTCAGATGCACTTGGGTTATGAAACAGGACAGTGTTATAAGGCACACCAGGAAGCTCAACTCTGAATGTAATAACAAAAACTAAGAAGGTTTAGAAATGTGGCCTAGTCAACGTCAGAACATAAATCCTATTGAGAAACCATGGCATGAGGCTATTTCTGCTACCAAGGGTGGTACAACCAGTTGTAGTGCTCATAGTTTGTTTCCCTTTGTGAATGAAAACATAATTTGAGAACTAAACTATGTATTAATTCCGGTTGTATTTATCCAATTTAATAATGCGTTTTGTTAAGGGGAGGAATTCTCTCTGGGGGCAATTTCAGCTGCCTGTCTCTTTTTTCCATTTATTTCCCGTGAGAAATACCTGAATATTAAAAGAAAAAAACAACAAGTGGTGGCACCACTAGAGACTTCCCCCATATGATTGTTTTCATAAGTCCTTGTTAACTTTTTATTGTTTCATCCTTTATTTTCCATGGTTGAAAAATAAAAGCCTGTGATGCAGTCAAAGGAGATTCCCTCGCTGTCTGACGTGATCTCCATCCTCTTAAATATTGATCACTACATACCTTTGTTTGACGAGATCCCTAAAGAAATGTCTGTCTACGCACAAATAAATACCAGCAACTAGGCAGCAAATAGAGTGGAGGGGAATTGGAGAGTTATTGTCGCCATAATGGCAAGATTATAGGCTACGCTCACTAAACTGCAGCCTTTCACTTTGGCTTGCTGACAATCATTAGCTAAAGCCTGTTGGCAATCAGCACAGCTTCATTTGCACATAACATAGCATACAGAGGCATTAACCTGGAAACACTACATCAGCTTTCTCCCCCCGGATGATGTCTGCACATTAAATCTGCACAGTGAGTGCACTAAAATCACATTAAGGAAAAGCATCTAGTTCTAGCTATGATATACAGCAAACCTTTGTGATGGAGACCGCAGCGTCCTCCTACAAACTGTTATAATGGACATCAAATGGGTTGGTGATGAAGAAAAGTGCCTTCATTCTGCCTTCCTATAAAGCAGTGCACATTAATTATGATCCAAGTGGTGAGGATGGTGTCATTTTTGCCACAAGTCTGATAATGGATTATGGATTTGTAGAAGAATTTTCTAAAAAGAAGAAATGTTTAAAAAAAAAGTATAATTAGAATATATTAAATAAGCAATAATCTTAATACTTCAAATCAAGAATAAAAAAAAAAGAAATTTTATTGATCTCACATTGGAGAAATTTACCTCTGCATTTAACCCATCCCTTGGAGGAGCAGTGGGCTGCCATTGTGTGGCGCCCAGGGAGCAGCGGGGGTTAAGGGTCTTGCTCAGGGACCCTGAGTGACAGTCTTTGGAGTGGGGCTCAAACTCAAAACCTCAGGATTCCAAGCTCTGTGCCCTAACCACTAGGCTGCCACTCCCCCTTTTCGAATATCAATTTTTTTTTATTACCTTTCTGCATGTAACTTAGTCTGTCTTACGAGGAAATTAATTGGCCCTTGTTCCTTGAACCTTTTACTTTTTGACATGTCACATTTCACTGACTTTGTAGAGTCTTCTTATAGCCGGATTTGAAGCTGCAAATCCTGTTCAAAATATTTATAGACAGAATTTCTAGGCAAATCCAAGGGCCGGAGGGGGTCTGGTTTGGAGACCGGTCGATTTCATTCCTGCTTTTTGTGGATTATGTGGTTTCTGCTGGCTCCCTGCTGCCAAGACCTAAAGCATGCACTCGGGTGGTTCGCATCTAAGTGTGAAGCAGACAGTATGAAGGTAAGCTGTCCAAGAAAAAAAGGTGGCATGCCCCATTCAGGTTGGAGGGGAGTCCCTGCTTCAAGTGTGGGAGTTCAAGTATCTTGTGGAGAGAATGGAGCGGGAGCTCCATTGACGGATTGATGGCTGCTGCTATAGTGCAATAGCTGCATTGGTTAGTTGTGATGAAGAGAGACCTAAACAAAAAGGCAAAGTCATTGCTTTACTGGGTAGTCTACGTTTCTACCCTCACCTGTGGTCATAAACTCTCCACATGTGAAGAGTCAGCAGAGGAGGCTCTGACGTCTTTTCCAAATGCCCCCTGCTCGTCTCGTCCGGCTGGTGTTCTTCCCACTGCGAGGAGGCCCAGTGGACACTCAGGACACGCTGGAGGGACTAAATGTCCCATAGAAGGGTGTCTGGAGAGAGGGAAGTCTGAGAGTCGCTGCTGAGACTGCCGCCCCTGTGACCAGGTCCCAGATAAGTGAGAGACGACAATTAAAAAAGCTGCAAGTCTTTTAGCTGTCTACTAGTTAATGCAAGTTTTTTATTAATAGTTCAAGCTCAGCCAAACTAGATGTAGTGTATTCAGACATCTATTTCATAGCCTTCCCCCAAAATTCTCCTTTTGACTCAGGTCTGAACTTTGACCAGGCCTTTCACTCATAAAATGCTTTATTAAAACCCTTCCATTGTAGCCCTGGCTGTAGGTTTTTTTCTTGTATCCTGACAGATGAACGTTCATCTGTAGCTTCCTATGTCAGGGTTTCTTTGAGGAGCTTTCTGCTTGTAGCCTAATATGTCTTACCATGAAATAGACCCGTCTCTGCTGTAGAAAAGCTTCTCCACACCATTGTACTCCCACTAGCATATTTCACACTAGGGAGGTTGTCTTCTGGGTTGTGTGAATTATAGGTTTTTCAATTAGTAGTTTAGCCAATTTGTTCTTGTCTGATTAAACCATCTCTACACGTTTACTGCATCTCAACATGATTTGTGGTAAACTGCTAATGAGATTTTTTTTTTCTAAAGAGTTGCTTTTTTTCTTCATGTCTAATAGTTGTCCTGGATTGATCTATGTCAACTGTTGATCTCTTAAGCTCCTCTAGAATTACAATAAGCCTCTTAGTTGCTTCTCTGACTAATGTTCTCTTTGCCCAGCCTGTCAGTCTAGGTGGCAGAAATGTCATGATGGCTTTAATACTTTTTTAGTGCATGTAGTTCCACCTCTGTGTCATCCAGGGCTCCTTCTTGTCCATCCTCAATCTTCCACAAGTTAAAGGTATAGTGGAGGATGTTGTTTTTTTGGGTGGGTCATCAAAATAAATGGTCCTCCTAATTGTCAATCAGTCTGGTGATATGTTTATGTAAGGACGTCCTATGTGCTCGTCTCCTTTTTCACTTACCAGTGGTGAGTCTGACATGGTGCAAAAATTGCAAATCTTCTTTTGGAAAGTAGGCTTGTATGAATGATGCAAACACGAACTTTTAAACGGAGCGTGCAAAAGGAGAAATGGACTCATGCTTGCTCTTTCATGCGTGTAATAGGCGTTCCCTCTCAGGTTTTGCATGCAAATTTTTTTTAAAGTGGAGAAGGTCTTTTCAAAAATTCGTAAAAATCCTCCTCTATACCTTTGAGTAATTTTCTGTTTTATCCATGATTTTTTTTTATCAGAGTAAAATGTCTGAATATCCTCTGAAAGTACTGCTTGGTATTTTGCTAGAAGTTTCACCTTTTCAAATAAAACAATAATTCAAGGTTGCAAGCATACAATTTTAAGTTTACAAACTCGTTTTGGTCTGAAATCTGATTTACCTTTTTTACGGAGCTGTCCTAAGTATTGATGGAATTTCTTATTTTTGTTGGTATTGTTTTCTCTCTCTTCTGCAGAAAGAGCGTGACAGGAAAAAAGAGGAAAAGAAGAAAGAAAAAGATGCTGACAAAGTGGAAAGGCACAACAACTCTAAGGTACAAACAACAGAAAGTCTTACAAAGCTTAACAATTAGGATCAAAGGTGAAGAGTCTATTTCAGTGGTATTATATGGTATTATTACTAAATAATGCAAAGCCTTCATTATCATAGCAAACAACAGCAACCAGCGATATAATACATACAGAAAGTTGTAAGACTGAATACTGTTTTAAATGTTTTTCTGTTTTCGTTCTCATAATGGGCTCTTTTCAGTTTGTGCTTATAGTACCTTATGGCTTCTGACACATTTTCAGAATCATATTCTATTAGATCAACAAACTGAAAAAAAAAAACTGGATATTATACCTTCTTAAAGCTGAAAGAAAAACATAACAAAGACTGCGATTTTGCTCCCACTGTCAACATCACTGAAAAAAAGGCCTTTTTTGTTTCCTGTGACAGCACTGACTCACAAGCACTATGGCTATTATGTTCACAGAGGCAAATATAAACATTGCTATTTCGGAAATTCCCCAATCTCAACAACCAGTGTACTTAAAATAAACAACACTTACTGAAACAAAAGCAATGACACCAATGATCCTGCATGTGGATACCTTCCAGTGACTGTATGATAAAACATATTTCCAATTGGGATTCTACTGTAGCATTTTTAGTCATTTGAAAATATGGATACATTGCTTTGTTAATACACAATATTAGGGAGGTCCATTTAGTGTAATTCAGGGGGAAATAAGAGGAAAACTAGCCAGCAGGTCAATCAGATTTACATGACTGGAAAATAATTTTCCCCACTGTGCAGCAGTTAATATGTTTTATTTTAAAGAAAGTTATTTTAATTTTGATTTAAGATTTTTTAGTATATGAAATCCAAGATACATACACATAACAGTCATTGGGAACATGTAACCAATCACAAGACAAGATCCTGAACCGCAGGTTTTATGGTCTTGGTCCATTTAGTCCAAATTTGGTAAACGTGTCCTTTTGCATCCTGAGGGAAAAAGACACCTTTTCCATCACATATGTTATGTTTATCCATCCTTGATGGATGGGGACTTCACCCTCCACCATTTTCTTTTATCTCCATTATTTTGACAAAGCTACATCTTTCATGTATATAGTTTTGAATCTAAAGGGACTTTTTGCTCCACGTATACACTGCAAAAAATATAAATCTCAATAAGTTATTTTTTCTTAAAATAAGTGTGTTTTTCCTTGATTTGAGGAGATAAGTAAGACACTTTGCCAATGGAACAAGACAATTTCCTTTTAAAATAAGAAAAAACTATTTTATCGTCTTATTTCAAGTAAATATTATCTAACTATCTTATTTTAAGAGTGAAAATACTCATTCCATTGGCAAATCATCTTATTTACCTGCTCAAATTAAGGCTAAATATACTTAATTTAAGCCATTTTTTACTTATTTCTGGATTGTTTTTGCAGTGTATTATTGATGTGTTCACATATCTCTATATCATACTTAGTTATAAACAGAGAGCCCCAGAAAATATGCATGTGGTTGTCCTACACTGTCTCCAGCATGAACCCCAATAAATGGACCATCAGACTTATGTTTCAAAAAAATTCCAAAACCTTCAAATTTCCTTGCCATCATTCTTTATGCTAGTTAATTTTAATGTTTAAAAGCACCAAATAATCCTTGAATCACTTAAGAAAAATTGGAAGCTTACTAATATTAGGGCAGCATGTTTAACGTTGCAAAGTGGGAGAAAAAAGCAGCCAGTAAAATCGTGGGACTAGGTCCTTTGGACATTTGACACAAATAAGCCTTAAAGGTCCCATATTATGCAAAGTTCACTTTATACCTTTAGTAACAGTCATGTGTCTTGAAGCCTGTGTTTGAGGTTCAACAATTTTCTTTCCCCTCTAACACTGCCTTTCTCCACCTTTTTAGCTTAAAATGCTCTGGTGGAAAGTCATGCCCTTTATGATGTGATAAGGGGAAATATATATGTCTGTAGCAGCCCATCGGTCAAGCTATGGCCTTCATATTGTTTATTATTCTGTGCTCCTAGACTTTCTTTACAAATTCTGACTGGTTGTTATGGTTATTGGTTGTTGGGGCGTGGCCTTCGGGAGAACAGGTAGCCCACCCCAATGTGTGTTATGTATTTTGATGAACGGTTTGTACTGAAACTGAAATCTCGATGGCAATGTAAATTGTAGTTAACAATAAAGTTGATAGATAGATTGGATAATTCTAAAATTCTCATCCAGAGGAGGGCTGAATAAGGACATTTTTGGTACATGGTCTCTGCCTAATCTAAAAAGAATATTCCTGCACAATCTCCAAAAACATTCTTAGGGGGTTATTGTCATCCTTAATAAGTTTTATTTTCAAATGTAAATTAATATGGAACCTTTAAAACAAAGAACTTTATGCAAACTGTTAATCCCATCAGTGGTGAGCTGATCATTTGTAATTGTTAAGAAGCCATAGGAAACAGGGATCTGTGTTCAACAAGTCAGTCATGGACTCATCTTTAAACCACAAGTATTTAAGAATGAAATGTGTTCCAGTTTTCCATAACTCTTCCAATGACTGGGTATTTTATCATTTTAGTAGACCTGCTAAACATAGATTTGATGCTATATGAAGGCCAGGATGTACACTGATTAGTTTTTTTTTGTCAGTGTTACTAATTCCATGAGAAATTTAATCAAGAATACCAGGGATATTACTGTAGCAACTGTAAACCAGCACTCATAAGGCAATCTGGCCTGTAAGCAACAAACAGTAGAGTATGCTATCTGTCGGCATTAATTTACCTTCATAAATATTGCAACACTAAGCTAGAATGAGGCAAAAGGAATCACAGCTTGTGTTGCATTATGAATGAATAATGTGTGAGTAGAGGAAGGCCTAGCTCCTTTACCTGCTTCTCCACCTGAACCCTCATGGGAAAGTCCTCATAAACATTCATGCTGCTCACAGATGCTTTATGTTTTATGCCACTGTGCACGACTGAAACACAGTGGCATAAAAATTCCATAGTATTAGCCTCAGTTTGCTTTCAACAGGCTTCTGACATGTTAAATATTTTTCGGTCTGTTAGCTGCACTATTACTGACAATGCTGCTGGTATATTTAGCTATATTTAGCTTTTTTCTAAAGAAGGATGCACTTTAAATGCACCAGACTACCACTGGTAAAAGATGCTTTCATAATTTGTGACGAAAAATGGGAGGAAGGGTAAGTGAAAGTCAACGGCTGTCAGCCATCAAAGTCTTTGACAGGATATGAGTAACGTGTGTTTGAAGAGAGAGTTAAGTGACAGGATGAGGTAGAGTTTCTGATGTGAGGAAGATGGTGACAAAAAAAAAATGGGATGGATTTTTAATTGACTGCTGATTTATTACCCATTAAAGCTATGGTATATAAATGTGCGATAGTAATCTATTATTAGAGCTAGAGGAGGGTAGGTGTATGTGTTTTTTGGGTCATGGATGCTAAATTAAACGTATTTCATGACCTGTGAAGGGAAGAGGGATTAGTTCTGCTTTCAGGAATGTGGTTTTCTCTGTGTGTGTGTTTCTCATTTCAGCATCTTCTGCAGGGAGTAAAAATATGGGTTATGTGCAAGCGTGCCACCGTACCCAAACCTAATTTCATTGTTTGTTTGTTATGATTATATTATATTCACTCCACATGAACCTATTTATAAATGTTTTGCATTTGTATTCAGTCTGTCTGATTTTGTCTTAACCTGAAACTACCTGGAATTTTCCCCCCCCTGTTTGGTTCGCTTTAATTATTTAGACATTATTATTTGAGGCTTAATGGGACCATAATTTAGACTATGGGAAGATCAGAGTGACAGTTTGAGAGGCTGGAAAGGGCTTAAGCCAGTTAGGAAGCTGGTCTTTAGCAAATGATTGATGCTGCCGCCTAGGCACCAATACCCTCCTATCTACTGGATAATAAGGAGTGGCTTAAAAAATAAAAGCTCAGAATTTTTTTTTTTATATAAAAAAAGCAAAGTTTTTTTTATAAATTTTATAAATAATTTGAGTACAGGTGTTTTCACAGGTCTGCCTAAAAAGTGGATCAGACAGCTGCAGCTGATCCAGAACGCTGCTGCCCGTGTCCTCACTAAGACTAAGAAAGTAGAGCACATCACCCCAGTTCTAAAGTCCTTACACTGGCTCCCTGTATCTCAGAGAATAGACTTTAAAATACTTCTGTTGGTCTATAAATCTCTGAATGGCTTAGCACCTAAATACATCACAGACTTGCTATCAGTGTATCAACCCTCCAGACCACTCAGGTCTTCTGGCTCCAGCCTGCTCTGCATACCTAGAACCAGAACTAAATATGGAGAAGCAGCATTTAGTTCCTATGCTCCACTTATCTGGAACAAACTTCCAGAAAACTGTAAAAGTGCGGAAAGCCTGAGTTCCTTTAAATCAAGACTAAAAATCAAGACTTATGAAAAAAAGTACTGGTCATTACTCTCTCCGTTCTCAGGCTGTTGTCTTGTTTTCTGTCCCACGTGTCAGTACTGAGCTGGGTAAAAAGGCCTTTGCTTACTCTGCTCCCTTTACATGGAATTTGCTGCAAAATAACATGAAACTTAGTAAATTGGTTCCTTTGAATACTTTTAAGCTGAGAATTAGATGTTTTGAGTTAGACTCCCTCACATGTCAATGTTTTAATTGAAATTTTATTGTAAGTGCATATTTGGCTTTTATGTGTGTGTCTTTGTACGTATGTAATGATGTGATGTAATTTTGATGCCTATCTTGGCCAGGTCTCCCTTGCAAAAGAGATTTTTAATCTCAATGGGTATTACCTGGTTAAATAAAGGATAAATAAAAAAATAAAAAAATAAATAAAAAACACATTTGTTTAGGATTGCCTTCGACTGTTCTAGTTAAACAGTTCAACTAAAACATATTTTCTTTAATCCAACTGTTTTTAATATTCTTTTTTTGTTTCTGCATTTTTTATTTTATTTTTTTTAATTTTTTTTTTTTTTCCTACTTGCTTTGATTCTGTTTTATCTT